CCTGGCTCTGCCTCCCGAGTGCTGGGATTAAAGGCGTGCGCCACCACCGCCCAGCTGTGACTTATTTTTTATCTGTATATAAAATCCCATGATATAATTCTCCATCTTTTTCACATCCTTGCATTAGTTCTGTTTTAATTAAAGAGTAAGTTTAGCCCAGACAAGCTCCAAACTTACTCATTAATGCTGGATGGCATTATTTTTAGGTAATCCTCCTGTCTCAGCCTCTTGAGTGCTGATTGTAGGTGTGAACTACCATGCATGGCTTACTTTGATTTACTTTGTTTTTGTTTTGTTTCCTTTATTTCTTTTTTAAAACTATTTTTCTTCTTTATTTTGCTCTTGTTTACTTCAATTTCATCTGTATTTGCTACTTTCTTACTTATAACTTTTCAGATTCAAGTAAGCATGAATTCATTAAAAATAAGCACTAACCCAAATCTAGTGCACCTGAGTTAATAGATAAGACTGGTTTCCCTTACACTTTCATTTATCCCCACCTCTTAAATGTAGTTTGAGTTTTCTCTCTGGGTCCCACCAAGCCCCGGCAATCCCTTAGTCCACTTATAAAATAAACATACAGACGCTTATATTATTTAAACTGCTTGGCCACTAGTTCAGGCCTATCATTGTCTAGCTCTTACTCTTATGTTTAGCCCATTTTTATTAATCTATACTTTGCCATGTGGCTCATGACTTACTGGTACCTTACATTTTCCTTGTCCTGGCAGCGGCTCCAGCAGTCTCCCCCCTCTGCCTTCCTGTTCCCTCAATTCTCCTCTCTGTTAGTCCCACCTACACTTTCTGTCTGGCTACTGGCCAACCAGTGTTTATTTATACAGCGTGATATCCATAGCACTTAAATGTCAGCCATAAAGTCACACCCCAAAATAAATGAATTTAAAACCACAAAAGATGCATGATGACTTTTGTACATGGTTGCCATAAAGTAAAACATTTCTCCATTTGATGACTGTGCCTTAGTTGTGTAGATGATCACAAAGGTAATTTCTCGTTTTCCTGCTGTAGATTATAGTAAGTAAGCAGCCAGAGCTTGCTTTAATTAACTGAAATCCATACACGGCATTAGCTGGGATAACACTGCAACAGTAATAGTAATTACAATTAAGCATTTGCTCTTCTGTGTGAGACAACAGTTTAGGTATAGGTATGTTTGTTTATTTTTCTTCCTTTTTTTTTTTTTCTTGAGACAAGGTTTCTCTGTGTAGCCCTGGCTGTCCTGGAACTCACTCTGTAGACTAGACTGGCCTCAAACTCAGAGAACTGTCTGCTTTTGCCTCCCAAGTGCTGTGATTAAAGGCATGTGCCACTATGCCTAGACTAGGTATGTTTATTAATTTAACCCTTTATAAAGAACCTGGAAGGACAGTCACTAAGACATTATGCAAATGCTACTAGCTGATGAGGCTAACAAGGCTGCAGGGCACTGTCATGGAGATGGCCACAGGTAGAGGTGACCAGCCCTCAGGTGTAACCATCCCACCAACTTTGACTTGCCTCCTCTGAGTAAACAGTCTAGAAACAGAACATCCTTGTGAACTGACAGGTAGGTGGTTGTAGGAGATTGTGTGTGTGTGTGTGTGTGTGTGTGTGTGTGTGTGTGTGTGTGTGTGTCTTGGGGAGGTGGCCAATGTTGCTGGAGGGCTTCTCTCCAGGTTCCCCAAGCCCCGCAGTCCCACAATCCACTTCTAAAATAATCACTCAGACGCTTATATCACTTATAAACTGTATGGCCATGGCAGGCTTCTTGCTATCTCTTCTTTTATCTTAAATTAACCCATTTTTATAAATCTATACCTTGCCACGTGGCTGGTGGCTTACCAGAGTCTTTACATGCTGCTTGTCCTGGCGGTGGCTGCAGTGTCTCCCCCTCAGCCTTCCACTTCCCAGAATTCTCCTCTCTCCTTGACCCACCTACTTCCTGCCTGGCAACCTACTTCCTGCCTGGTCACTGGCCATCGGTGTTTTATTTATATAGAGTAATATCCACAGCAGGCCAATATGTAGGAAACAAGTAACTAACGCAGATTAGGAAAGCCTTGCTCCAAAGAAAGCTACAATAGACAAGTGTCCCAGTGAGCAGTTGGACCCGGGCAGTGGTTCACAGAAGAAGCAGTGCTCAGGGCACATCTGTGTGGTTTTAATACTGGATTCAATAATTGTAGGTCTCGCTTCTGCTTTGGTGGGATTGTGTTCTGTCCCGTCTCTGCCTGTCATTGAAGAAATATGTGGCATTGGACTAGCCTTGGTCAATGAAGTTGAACTTGCATTAAGAGAAAGAGAAAGAGAATGTATGTAAACACCCCCACCTCTCCATCATTATCTTTCAATTTAGAACCTGATGAAGTTTCAAAGGGCATTTTCTCCTTCAGCCTGTGTCTAAGAATGAGGATGAGGGGTGGGAAACACCCCCAGCACAAGTTCTTGCCTACAATGGATGAATGAGGAGTAGGAGCCAAGAAAACTTTTTCTATATATACTCACAGGGTTTGGAATTATTTTTTTTCTGATCACAGCTTATCTCATCCTGACTGGCACACAGCCCACTGTCCTCTGAAAGGGAAACATCAGACCTGGGTACAAGGAAGGGCCACTGGAGGTTCTTATGTCTGATGCTGAAGCCCATGTTCCTATGCGAAGGCAGAGCTGAAATCAAAGGTTCTTGATCCTGATGCAGCCCATTCAGATTCCGTCAGTGGTTCAACTCTATGGAACCCACAGAAGCCAACAGTAAGAATGATGTGTTACATAGAGTTACCCAACAAGGAACTGGGACCTGTCATGTGAGATGGCTCAAGAACACTTTGCTTAGCAGGGTTTTGTCTACATTCTCAACCTTTGGTGTAAGAGATTTGCTGGATTTTCCTATCCCTGAAGGAAGACAGATGTTGCCTTATGATGCACTGAGGAATGGGCTGAATCCTGTTCATCAGGCTGAGTCCTGTGCCACTCATAGGGCCACAGCGGGCTCTGTCAGTCTCCTGTGGGGTAGGTAATGCATGGGATCCACTTGGAAAGTTCTGGCAGGCCAGGTCTTCAGACAACCTAACTACAAATGTGTTTCCGGGTTTCTGATGCTTAGGTCTGGCTCCTCCTGTCAACCCAGGTTAACTTCCAATGTTCCCATTGGCTACAGTGTAGGGTCTGCCTGAGGCTCTTCAAGATGGACACAAACGATTTATTTGGAGGAACATTAAATTTTTTTGTGTCACCTCCCAACCAGGTTACAGTTACCTGGAGTTGTGTGTGAGTGGCAGCCAGTAGTTATCTGAGACAAAATTACACTCAAGACTGTATGCTCACCCCCTTGTTCCATTTTACAGTCATTAATCTGACACAGAGGCCATGGAGAGAGACAGAAAGCAGGAATCCAGGGATGGTTGAAAGATGGCGAAAACAGAGGTGTCTTACCTGGAAGGTACATGGCTTTTGCCTGTTGGTGGCCATAAGAGGAAAGGAGAAGGCCAGTATCTTGACCTGCCAGGGGCAGGTCTCTTATTTGAGTGACCAACGGGGTGGACAGGTCACTGATAGAAGCAGATGGGTTAGAGGGAAGAAACTTTGCATGTCAGCTCTGGAGACCAAAGCAGCTCATTGTATTCATTCTAACAATGAGCTTCCTCCTTCCCGACCAGCAAAGGTTGACCCTCGATGTTGGTTAAGTGTTTTTCTGCAAATGCACGAGCGGATACTTGAACAAGCGATGTTGTGTGGTTCCATGCTGCTGACTCAGAAAGAGGAATCTTAGCTTTAGTTGGAGGTCCTGGTTGGAAAGAACATTGGGGTTCCCAGGGAGACAAATAGCAGGAGCTGATGAGAGCGTAGCGGCTGGCAGCAGGGTGTGCACAGACATTCATTCAGGCTCTGCGAAGGGGAAGCCAGCCTTTCAGTCGAGTGCGCCGGCTGCTCTTTGCTATGGCTGATGGAAGTACTCGATCGCTTGATTTTAAAACATCACTTAGTTTTTGATTCGTTGCCTGATCACCCTCCGAGGCAGAAACTTGAAATTGTAAATACAGATTCAACCCTTGATTTTTACCTAGTTTTCAGGCAAGAAGAATAATGACCACTTAAGGGGTGTAACTATGATTGCCTGAAATTGAAGTGGCTGTTTATTTTCCAGACTCCCATCATTTCATCAGGCAGTTTTTACTTCCTTCTAATGCCTGTTTTTCTCCTGTAGAGAGTCTGAGGGAATAATACATCTCACTGGGGTACAATGCTGCTACATTACTCTCCCATTGAAAGCTTTTGCTGTGCATATTTGAAAATCAGCTCAGACGGACACTATAATTTGCTAGGATCAATATAATTAGAGAAAAAATTGATGTACCAAGAAGACAATGTAAAGACTATTGGGCATGACCAAAATGTCAGTGGGAGAGGCATCCTCCATCAGGTGGGTCAGGCATCCATCGTTAGAGACTGGGATGGAGCCAGAATGAGGCCTAGGCTCTGGCAAGGGAAATTCTACTGTACAGTCATCTCTTTAAAGTGAGATAGTAGCTACCAGAGGCTATAGGAATTGGTGTGTGTGTGTGTGTGTGTGTGTGTGTGTGTGTGTATGGTATGTGTCTGTGCGTATGTGTATATGTGTGTGCATGTATGTGTGTGTGTATGTGTATGTGTGTGTGTATGTGGTGTGTATGTGGTGTATACAGTCAGTAGAGAAGGATAAGTTCTGGTGGGCCATATACATGGTGGTAATTAGAGATAATGATATCATACCTTGTCACATAAAAAGAGGCTAAAAGAAAGCATTTTATTTTCCCCACGAAGACATGGTCAATATTTGAAAGGTGGGTGTGTCTTTCTTGATTTAAACTGTGTAAACAGCAAAGAGGAATAGAAATACCCAACAATTTTACACAACAGTCCACCAGCAACTCTGCTCTTCCAACATTCTCCTACAAACTGATGCTCCAGGAACTCTGGGTTGGGAACCATGTCCCCTCTGTTACATGGTCTACACTGAGCACATGGACACACAATTTCTTCCCATGATTAATGTCCACCTCAGTGGTTAATGTCAAATGTAAAGCTCTTCAGCCTGTAGAGGACCTGTCTGTCCTCTCAGTGGCTGGATTTTTCTAAAATACCTTTGATTCTTCATTGTAGTATTGGCTGCTTCCTGTCTTAGGCTGGAGCTTGGACTGTGGCCCTGGGTATGTGGTTTATTGGAAACCCCGGTTTCTTCACCTGGAAACAAATTGTACATTCAAGATTGGAGTGTTATTTACCATATGGTATCTAGCTGTAGACACCTGTGCCTGGCTGGCAGTCAGGATTTAGGCTTTAGGTGTCAACAGAAGCCTCTTGTTCATGGCGCCCATCATCAACAGCAAGGAACAGAAATTTACAAGCAATGGGCTCCACAGCCATGTAGAGGTGACGTTAGCTATGGCTCCTCAGGACTCCACAGACTAAAGAGGTCACACATGGTTGAGCCAGAGCATCCAAAGCAACAAACCCTCTCAAGGAGAAACAAAAGCTACAGAGATGGAGAGAGTCTGGAGACAGTGGGGTTTTGCTCTTTCCATTTATTTTATCTGATTGGTCTGTGTGCATTGTATGTATTGTTAAGTTAAATGTAGACAATTTCAAGTATGTGGTGGACCTTGTATCCACTCTCCTCCTTCCCCTCTTTATTCCCCCTTTCCTTTCTCTCCTGGTACTCTTCCTCCTTCTCCTCATCTCCCTCTGCTTCCATGTTTTCTAGATACACATCAACGGTTTTGTGTATCTATAGAAAACTGCAGATCTCCTAAATGAGAGAAAACCTGCATTATTTACCTTTTTGTACCTGACTTAATTTACTCAGTATAATTATCTCTGGTTGCATCCATTTTCCAGCAAATGACATAATTTCAGTCTTCTTTAGGGCTGAAAATTTCCTTTACATAGTGGCTCACCTGTTGATGGACAGTGAGGCTGATCCCGTAAATTGGCAGCTGTGAATACTTTCTGCAGGGCGCATGGGCATGCGGGTAGCTGTGCTGCACTGCTTCAGAGTGCCTTAGGCGTGTACTCAGATGTGAAACACATGAGGGAGGAAATGCCATTTCCTTTAGTTTGGGGATTCTCAGCTTTAGCACTTGTGGCTGTTTGGTTCAGATCAGTCTGTGATGAGGACAGTCCTGTGTGGAAGGTTCATTGCAGCATCCCTAGCCTCTAATTTCTGGGTACTAATGTGTGCTGGCTAGTGTTATGTCAACTTGACACAAGCTAAAGTCATCTGAGAGGAAGGAAACTCAATTAAGAAAATACCTCCATAAGATCTGGATGTAGGAAAGCCTCTAGGGCATTTTTTAAATTAAATAAATCATGAAAGAGGCCCTATATCCCATTGTGGGTGTTGCCATCTCTGGGCTGGTGATCCTGGGTTCTATAAGAAGTCAGACTGAGCAAACTATGAGGAACAAGCCAGCAAGCAGCACTCCTCTATGACCTCTGCCCTGTTTGAGTTCCTGTCCTGACTTCCTTCAATGATGAACAGTAATGTGGAAGTATAAGCCAAATAAACTCTTTCCTCCCCAACTAGCTTTTGGTCATGGTGTTTCATCACAGCAGTAGTAATCCTAAGACATCCACCTTGTGATGTGTGATAGTTAAGACTGTCCTGAGACTCGGCTCATGTCCTCCAGGGAGCAGCCTTGTATCTGTGAGAACCACTGTGTGGATGGAGCTATGTGCAAGGCTGGCAGTTGGGAGGATTGTGGGTGAACTAGTATGGTTGGTCTTCCACCCAGCTCTCCTGGCTCTCTTGGCAATGAATGGTTGTGTTTGGGCAGCCAACAATCTCCACAACCAGCCTGCAGGATCCCCGTGTTCCTGTGCTCTGGCTGAATCTTCCACTGGCTTTT